GACCTATCCCCTTCCTAACTCTCTACCTACACTCACCTTTACTGGCTCCATCCCCGCCTCTTCGACCTGTTTGTTTCCTCTCCACCTATCCTCTCCTCTATCCGCCTCCCACTCTCTCCCTATTTATTTCAAAACCCCCTTCCCCTCCCCCTTTTCTGATGAAGGGTCTAGGCCCGAAACGTCAGCCGCTCTGCTCCTATGATGCTGCTTGGCCTGCTGTGTTCATCCAGCCCTGCACCTTGTTGTCTCAAATAAACAGAAGTGACCATTCTTAATATCACTCACCTAGAACACTGAGATGGTAGTTTATAGATTTGTCACCCACAGAGTTAGTTGCGACACAAGTGTACTGTCCTGTGTGGGACAAAGTTGCTTTGAAGATTTCCAGAACGGATCCATCTGATGAAACCCAATAATCTGTGCTGTCATTCAGTTCCTGACCATCTCTCAACCAAGTAACCCATGGCTTTGGATTGCCTAAAATGAAATATAAATGGCCACTGACAGATTATAAAGTATTCTTTGCGTTTTAATATTATCTTCACTCTTGTAACGCAAACACTGAGTTCTTACTGAGAACAAGTATCAGAAGATGTAGAAACTGAAAACATTTCAACACCATCACAGACATTGGTATGGTCTGGACTCAAAATAATTGACTAACTGACTTTCTCGGTAGATACCAAAGTATAGCAGTAGCTATTCAAGCTGGAGCAGATACCTTTACACAAGAACATCACATGGCACGATGCACACAGATGCCAGCACTTAACTCTCTTAAAGGTGCATGCTTACCTGATCATAGATATGTACAATATGACACAACAATTATGTCAGCAATTTATTTATTGGTGGAAACTGCCTTTTTCTCATTAGTGACATTAAACTATGAATTGGAATGTGTTTGCAAAGCAAGTCCTACATCTTGGATCTCATTAAAAACAAATAGGGGAGATTACACTATCTAGCATATATTAAATACAGGATAATACAAAGGCTCAGGGTTTGCCACAAAAACAGCATGCAGTTGAAATAGTACACCTGGTGTTTATTAGAGAACAGCCCAGATAAAAGCACATCTTGTTTGTATTCAGAAAATAGTCCACTTTGTATCCATTGTAGAGAATAATGTGTATTACAGAGAACAGTGTCACTAATATCTTTTATTCCTCTTTCACACTACTCTTTCCATTGATATTCTTGTTATATCACTAGGCTATTCATCATTGGATGGCATTTTCGCTAGACTACTAACCCAGAAACTCAGCTAATGTTCTGGAGACTTGGGTCCAAATCCAACCATGACAGATGGTGAAATTGTAATTCAATAAAAAAAACTCTGGAATTAAGAATCTACAGATAACCATGAAACTATTGTCATGTATCGGAAAAACCCATCTGGCTCACTAATGTCCTTCAGAGAAGGAAATCTGCCGGCCTTAGCTAGTCTGGCCTACGTGTGCCTCCAGATCCAAAACAATGTGGTTGACGCTCAACTGCCCTCCTGAAATGGCCTAGCAAGCCACTCAGTTGTATCAATTGCTACAAATTCTCAACAAAGAAATGACACCAGGTTGGCCACCTGGCATTGACCTAGGCACCAGAAAAGAGAACAGCAGAAACAGCCCTGTTGACCCTGAAAAGTCTTCTTACCAACATTAGAGGCTAGTGCCAAAATTGGGAGAGCTGTCTTTTAGACTAGTCAAACAACAGCCTCACAGTCATACAGTATTATTTTTTTTGCAAAAGTACATGTGACAATAAACTGTTCTGTTCTATCCTCACAGAATCATACTTTACACACAATGTCCCAGACACCACCATCACCATCCCTGGATATGTCTTGTCTCACCAGTAGGATGGACCTAGCAGAGGTGGCAGTTGAGAGGGAGTTGCCCTCGGAGTCTTTAAGGTTGACACAAGACCCCATGAAGTCTCACAGCATCAGGGTAAACATGGGCAAGGAAACCTCCTACTGATTATGATGCACCGTACTCTCTCGGCTGATGAGTTGGAACCCCTACCCCCAATGTTGAACAACACTTGGAGGAAGAACTGATGGTGAATTTCAATGGCTACCAACAAGAGTGGCTCAGCAGCAGTACTCCTGATTGAGCTGATCGGATCCTAAAGTACATAGCTGCTAGGCTCAATCTGTGGCAAATGGTGAGGTAACCAGAAGAGCGAAAATCATACTTGACCTCATTCTTACCAATCTGCTGGCTGCCAATGCATTTGTCCATGACGGTATCGGTAAGAGTGACGAATGCATTGTCCTTGTGGAAATGAAGTCCCACTTTCACTTTGAAAATAATCTACACTGTGTTGTGTGGAACTATCATCGTGCTGAATGGGTCAGAGTTCGAACAGATCTAGCAACTCAAGACTTGGTATGCATGAGGTGCTGTGGGCCATCAACAGCAGCTGAATTGTACTCCAGCACAATCTGCAACCTGATGGCCTGGCATATTCCCCACTCAACCATTACCATCAACCCTGGTTCAATGTAGAGTGCAGGAGGGCATACCAGGAGCAGCACCAGGCATACCTAAAAATTAAGTGTCAACCTGGTGAAGCTGCCAAAGAGGATCTCTTGCATGCTAAACAGCGTAAGTAGCAAGTGATAGACAGAGTGAAGTGATCCCCCAACCAATGGATCAAATCCACGCTCTGCAGTCCCACATCTAGTCATGAACGGTGGTGGACATATAAAAAAACTAACTTGAGGAGGAGGATCCACAAATGTCACCATCCTCAATGATGGAACAGTCCAACACATTAATGTAAAAGAAACACCTGAAGCATTCACAGCAACCTTCAGCCAGAAGCGTTGAGTGGATGATCCGTCTCACCCTCCTTCAGTGGTTCCCAGCATCATAGTTACCAGTCCTCAGTCAATTCAATTCACTCACGTAATATCAAGAAACATCTGGAAGCACTGGGTACTGAGAAGGCTGTGGACCCTGACAACATTTGGCAATAGTACTGAAGACTTATGCTCCAGAATGTATCGCTTCCCTAGCCAAGCTATCCCACTACAGTCACAGCACCAGCATGGTTGACAATGTGGGAAATTGCCCAGTTATGTCCTGTACACGAAAATCAGGACAAATCCAACCTGGTCAATTACTGCTCCATTAGTATACTCTCAGACATCAGTATGAGGATGGAAGGTATCATCAATAGTGCTATCATGCAGCACCTGCTCAGCAATAACTTGCCCAGTTTGGGCTCTGCCAGGGCACTCCGGTCCAGGTCTTATTACAGCCTTGGTTCAAACATTGACGAAAGAGCTGAATTCCAGAGGTGAGGTGAGAATGCCACCTCTTGACATCAACCAAGTGTGGAGTCAAGGAGCCTAGCAAGACTGGAATCAAAGGTAACCAAGGGGAAAACTCGGTGCTGATTGGAGTCACGCTGGCACATAGGAAGATGGTTGTGGTTATTGGATGTCAGTCACCTCAGTTCCAGGACATCTTTGCAGAAGTTCTCAGGGTTGTGTCATCCCTGCCTCCTTGACCTGACACAACCTGTCCATCTTCTCTCCCACCTATCTGCCACTCCCACCTCAATGACCAATCTCCACCACTGCCTACATGCACTCACCTATCACCATCCCACTTACCTTTGCCAGACCCACCCGTCCTCTCTCTATTTATTTCTGAGCTCCCTCCCTGTCCCCGTTTCTGAAGAAGGGTCCCGACCTGAAACGTTAGCTTTCCTGTTCCTCTGATGCTGCCTGGCCTGCTGTGTTCCTTCAGCTCCACACTTTGTTATCTCTGACTCCAGCATCTGCAGTTCTTGGTATCTCACTTTTCAAACCTTTGACCATTTCCACCTAAAAGGACAAGGGCAGCAAATACATGGGAACACCACCACCTGAAATTTTCCCTCCAAGCCACTCACCATCCTGACTTGGAAATATTTCACTGTTCCTTCACTGTTGCTGGATCAAAATCCTGGAATTCCTTCCCTCAGGGCATTGTAGATCAACCGACAGCAAATGGACAGCAGTGGTTCAAGAAGGCAGCTCACAACCACCTTCTCAAGGGCAACTAGGGATGGGCAATAAAGGCTAGCCAGCCAGTGAACCTATGTTTCACAAATGAATTTAAAAAAAGCTTGTCCTGTTCATAGGTTACCTTCAATGTTCATTTCCTCTCTGGAGTTCATGGATATAGAGTCAGAATCATAGAGTCATACAGCACGGCAAGAGACCATTTGGTCCAACCAGTCCCTGCTGAACATAATCCCAAACTAAACTAGTCCCACCTGCCTGCTCCTGGCTGATATCTCTCCAAACCTTTCCTATTCATATACTTATCTAAGTGATTTTAAATGTTATGACTGTGCCCGCATCCAGCTACCAAAACAGGAATATTTGTGCGCCAAACAACACAAGCAGCAAATGATATACAGAACAAAGTGATCCACAACCAACAGATCAGATCTAAGCTCTGCCGTCCTACTACATCCGGACATGGATGGTGGTGAACAATTAAACAACTCGCTGGAGGAGGCTCCACAAATATCGACACTCTCAGTGATTGAAGATCCCAACACATCAAGCAAAAGACGGAGGCATTCGCAGCAATCCTCAGCCAGATGTGCTGAGTGAATGATCCATCTTGGCCTCTTCCAGTGGTCCCTATCACTACAGAAACCAGTCTTCATCCAAATAAATGATAGGGTAAAAATAAAAATCAATGAACAAAATGATAAAATCAAATTTTAACAGGGACAGCCACAGGTAATTAGTCTCAGCTTCACTGGTTATGTATAGTGAGCGGGGAGAGCTAATAATTAATTATGGTTTTCTTTCCAAGCACTAATCTAGTGACTCTCCCCACACCATCCCTCCACTTGCATCCAGTATATGTGTAGACATCAGGAGAGGATCATGGGCGAGTTACCCCCTGTGGATTGAATAACAGACAACACTCAGCTATGAGAATGGCAGGTTGAGTAAAATATCAAAATCATGAGGAACCAAATTCCAGAGTGACTTCTTGGCTTTAGGAGGGACGACAGCATGAAAAATACAAAGCAGATATGCTGACATGTAAAATCTTTAGATTAAGTTTAAAGAAAGTCTTCAAGATTCACTCACCTGTGGTCAAACAAGTCATGTTGATGCTCTGTTCTTGCTTAACTTCCACCTTTTCCATCTGATTTTCATTTAAAATGCTGGGAGGACCTACACAAACACAGAATGTGGGAATTTTAGTGAGCCATGATGGACTTCACATCCTTACTGAACTTCCCCACTTGACAACAGTTGTCAGATTTACACCAAGAAATTCTAACCCAAGTGCTCTGTTTTGCTCTTCACCTTTGAAGCAATCTTTAAAACTTTATCGTCATGTGTTTCATAAGCTCTTCCAAAGAGCAGTCAAAGACTCAATGAGCTGAATGATTTCTTTCTATGATATACTATTTAATTTATTATTCTATTGCTCTACTTCTGACCCCTGAGAAGTTTGGAACATTCACTACCTTAATTTGCCCAGTCTGAACTGGTTTATACCAATAGGATCGCTATAGAATCATAGAATCCCTATAATGTGGAAGCAGGCCTTTCAGCCCATTAAGTCCACATCAATCCTCTGAAGAGCATCCCATCTAGAGCAACCCCTCTATCCTATACCTGCATTTCCTATGGCTAATCCACCTAGCCTACACATTCTTGGACAATACAGGCAATTTGGCATGGCCAATACACCTAACCTTTGGATTGTGGGAGGAAACTGGAGCACCCAGAGAAAACCCACGCTGTCACAGGGAGAATGTGCAAACTCCACACAGACAATCGCCTGAGGGTGGAGTCGAACCTGGTGCTGTGAAGCAGCAGTGCTAGTCTTGGTTACTGTAGTAAGCAAGCTTTCTGGTTTCTCAAACAGAGACCATTGTTATTTAAAGAGCTGGTGTGAGTTGAAGTGGTTTCTGAATAATAGCAGAAGATTGAGTGTTTGGGGACAGAGAAACCATGAGTCAGCCAATCAACCTCCTAGTCAGTTCTACCATTCAGCAGGATCATAGCTATGTTAAAATCAATCTGTTCAGATGTGTTATAACACACTTCTGGAGCAGGTTGGACTTGAATCTGGGCCTTGTTAGTTCAGAGGGTGGAACACTATCACTGTGCCACAAGAGCCCCCTGTCAGTCGGATCACAGTTGATTTGTACCTCAGGTGAAGATCCCATTGAGTCTCACTGTTTGAGTTTATACATGAAGGTAGCCACTTTGGGCACCAAAGGATGCCTTGTATCAACAGGACTGATTCCAGAGTCTTCAGAAAAAGTGAGAAGATTATCAGAAAGGCAAAGTAAAGATTGTTGGCCAAGATTCTATTCATGTAACCTTATTCATAAAAACTAGTGTAGGTTAGGGGGCCATACAATCCTCAAGTACACAGAAATGTTACTTGTGTGAAAAATTTACAAGCAATAGAGAGAGATGTATGATGTTAGAGGTAGGGTGTTAAATAAAATCCTCAACAGTTCTGTCCTCCTTACTCAGTACATCCACATGAAAATCCTTCGCTGCTTCCCCTACACCGTTGCTGGCTACACAGGTATAATGGCCGGCATCTGCCATGAGGACACGGGTCAATTTGAGGGTCCGTCCACCTTGGGGGCAAATCAAAGAATGGGAAACAATTAAAGCAGTAAATTAATCCCATAATTAACAATGATTTATATAGTCATGAGGAAATGGTAAAGGTTTACAGAAAGTGCCAGCGAAAAAAGGCTTCGTGAAATGTAATTGCAGTAACACCTGACTAATTGCGACTGGACTGTTTGAGGGCATATATGCCTTTTTATTTCAGGCCTCTCTTCCCTGGTCCTCACATTAATAGATGACACAAGGTTAAGCAGCCTGCACCTTCTGTCAGTTTAAATGCTAAAAAATACACAAAGCTGTGTGGTTCCAAAATTTGCATCACCCCCACCACAGCAAGCCTGTGCAGGCAGCACTAGGCTTCTGCTTTCCAGTAGCCCACAACTCCGGCAGCAGAAGATCACTGGTACAAAAGAATATCTTCCTCCTCTGCAGCATAGTACACTACAGCAATAACCTATTGTGCCCAATTAAAATTTTATTCCAATTGATGAGTAGGCTCAGGGAAAAGCAACAACTCAGAGTCATTTGCTGTCCTATGTGTACATAGATCCCCATCACATCAATGCCTGAGAAGCCCCAGTCAGTGGTAATATAGCCTCTCCAGGCTCGTGAGTAGGGGATAACCTGGCTTAATGCTTGCAAGGAAATAAGAAGTTGCATATTTTGAGCTCAGATGAGGCTTACAAACAGGTAAACTTACCACAGAGTCATAGAGTCATACAGCACAGACCCTTTGGTCCAACTTGTCCATGCTGACCAGGTATCCTGAACTGAACTAGTTCCATTTGCCTGCATTTGGTCCATAGGTCTCTAAACTTTTCCTATTCATATACCTGTCCAAATGTCTTTTAAATGTTCTAGTTTTACTCACATCCACCAGTTTCTCTGGCAGCTCATTCCATATATCACCACCCTCTGTGTGAAAAAAAGTTGCCCTTCAGGTCCCTATTGAATCCCCTCTCACCTTAAACCTATGCCCTCTAGTTTTGGGCTCCCCTACCCAGGGTAAAAGACCTTGGCTATTCATGTTATCTATGCCATTCATTATTTTATGAACCTCTCTAAGGTCACCCTTCAACCTCCTATCCTCCAGGGAAAAATGTCCCAGCCTAACCAGACTCTCCTTATAATTCAAACACTTCAGTCCCAGCCACATAGCAGCAAGGTGGCTCAGGGGCAGCACGGTGGTTCAGTGGTTAGCACTGCTGCCTCACAACACCAGGGACACACATTCAATTGTGGGTCGGGTGACTGTCTGTATAGAGTTTGCACATTCTCCCCATGTCTGCAAGGGTTTCCTCCAGGTGCTCTGGTTTCCTCCCACAGTCCAAAGATGTGCAGGTTAGATGGATTGGCCATGCTAATTTGCCTCGTAGTGTCCAGTGATGTGTAGGTTAGGTGGACTAGCCATGGGAAATGCAGGATAGGGTGAGGGGTGGGTCTGGGTGAGATGCTTTTCAGAGAGTCGGTGTGGACTTGTTGGATCAAATGGCCTGTTTGCACACTGTAGGGATTCTATGCAACATTCTTGTAAATCTTTTCTGTACCCATAACAACATTCTTCGCATAGCAGGGCGACCCAAATTTAATGCAGTATTTTAAAAGTGGCCTCACCAATGTCTTGTACAGCTGCAACATAATGTCCCAACTCCTACACTCAATGCTCTGACCAATAAAGGCAAGCATGCCAAATGCTTTCTTCACCACCTTGTCTACCTGCAATGCCACTTTCAAGGAACTATGAACCTGCACCCCTAGGTCCCTCTGTTCAACAACACTCCCAGAGCTCTACCATTAACTGTGCCCTGGTTTGCCCTACCAAAATGCAATACCTCACATTTATCTAAATTAAACTCCATCTGCCACTTCTTGGCCCATTGGCCTATCTGATCGATATCTTGTACTCTGAGATAACCTTCTTCCCTGTCCACGAGATCACCAATTTTTGTGTCATCTGCAAACTTACTAACCACACCTCCCATATTCTCATCCACATCGTTGATATAAATAACAAACAACAGTGGACCCAGGACCTATCCCTGCAGCACACTGCTGGACACAGGCCTCCAGTCCAAATAACAATTTTCTACCACCACCCTCTGCCTTCTACCATCAAGGCAATTTCATGCCCAATTGGCTACCACTCCCTGGATCCCAAGCAATCTCACCTTACTAATCAGTTTATCATGTGAGATCTTATCGCAGGCCTTGCTAAAGTCCACGGAGACAATGTACCCCTTGGCCATCATCTATCCTCTTGGTAACTTCTTCAAAAAGCTCAGTCAAATTTGTGAGACACAATTCCCCATGCACAAAGCCATGCTGCCTATCCCTAATCAGTCCTTGCTTTTTCAAATGCACATAAATCCTATCTCTCAGAATCCCCTTCAATAGCTTACCCACGACTGTTGTCAAATTCACTGGTCTACAGTTACCCATTAAAATGAGGTAATTCCAGACGTGTCCTTATGATGCAGTTGGACAAAAGCAAACCCATGACCTAATAAGACACCAGTATCAAAGCCAGGATCAGTGCCAGCGCTGTGTTGTTAGTTGGGGTTGTGAGCGAGAATACATCAGTACTAGTTCCAATCCTTGTTCAGAAAGAATATGGTTCCTGCAGGAAATTTCATGGTGGCTGACTTTTCCAGCGGGCACTGCAACTCCAACACTGGGACCATATGTGGATCTCAACCCCAACATCAGAGCTATGCCTAACTGAGCAACCTTCTGGGAAATGGCCAACTGATAGCCCCATTGAAAGAAAAAGGAATAACAAAATGGCAGATAAAAATATTACATAATTCAACAATGTGTAAACTCATCCTATTATTAATTTAAGTAATGTTGGACCCAGTCCAGAGTCTTAAATAATATGTACGAAAATCTTACTTTTCCAATTCTGGCCACTTATAGTTGTGACTAAGACCATCAGGCATCAAAAGAATGACTTTTTCCTCTATCTAAATATAGTACTAGAAAAGAATCTGTCAACTGAAAGGTTAACAAATGTATGAGCGGCAGATTCATGCCAAGGTCAACACCACCGGGTGTTAGTCCAATAACTGATCCGACTCATCACTAATGACAAGAGGACTTCTTCTCATTATTTTTCATAAGTAGTGGGACAGTGTCCCTCTGTGAGTGTTTGCTTGTGTAAGTATTTGGACACATATATCCACATATGCATCATTTTTACGTAGGCAAGTCACAGTTACAGAGTCATCACATACAACAAGGAGACCATTCAATGTACTGAGTCATTGTAGAAGAATTCAGTCAAACCAATTTCCTGATCGATCCCAATACCACTGTGAGATTATTTCCCTCAAAAGTCCATCCAATTTCCTTTCAAAATTATTCATCATCTCCACCTTTACAGGCTACAGTCCTAAGTTATTATCACTTGCTACTTAAGAAATTCTTCCTCTCATCCCCTGCTTATCCCTTGATTGAAATCTTTGACCCACAGACCTTGTACTGTTAGCTAATCATAACAGCTTTTCTTCATTTACATTTATCTAAACCTGTCTTAACTTTGTATGCCTCCATCGATCTATTTTGAGCCAAAGAAAATAACTTTGGGACCCCACAAACTAACTTATAGCTAAAATCTCTCAGCCCTGAAATCATTCTGGTACATATCCTCTGCAATCTCAATGTAATGTGTGCTGTGTCTGTGCTATCTATGTACCAAAATCAAAATTAATATCGTCAGACAACGTTTATAAGCAGTTTGCACCATTTAGGAATCACTCTTAAAACACAAACTTAGGAAATTATCTCGTGAAGATTTCAAATGCAACCAGTGATCTGTAAACACAATGGTACTATTTAATGTCAGTACCAATATGCTTCATGGGACCCAAGTATTTAGTTGAAAAAGAAGTGAAAATAGAATTTGCTGTATTTAGGGGTGTGGCCCCATAAAAAAGACAAAAGAGAAAAGGTTAATGGTTGCCTTACCTGACAGCATTTGCATCCTTGTACTGGAGACAAGAGGTGATCCATTTCTGAACCAGGTGAAGACAGGTGGAGGGACTCCGGTGGCCTCACATGTCAGCGAGATCGAGTTGCTCAGGACGGTGCTGATATTTTCTGGAGCCCCCATCTCCCCAGTGATAGCTGGAGGGACTGACCAAAAACACACACACACACAGAATCAATTGTCAATCACTGATGCAGACCTGCCAGATAGAAAAAGTATCTTTACGCTGCTTTTTCTGACTTAACTGATCTTGTAAGCCCTGTATTACATATAAATACCAAACATATATATATCCCAGCTTTATATTGCCTCATATTTATAAGTGCTCTCATCTGTCAGTTCAAGAAAAGAAACACTTTTCAAAGTTGAAAAACTCAATGCCTTGAATAAGGGCATTAACTTTTCAATTTATAATGTTTTGAAAAGTGCAATGTGTATTCTGCTCACTTGAAGCTACCATTTCTCTAAACGGGGGAGTCTTCAAAAAGAGAAATAAAAAAGTCAGCCATTGTTTGCCGAAGCAATTTTGACATTGGGTGTTTCTGGCTATTTCCTACCCTAAGGACTTAATAACCTTGGGGCGACTGCAACAGATAACCAGAACAACCTCCTGATATGAGGTCATACGAAACCAGTTGTGAGTGGCTCTGAAGTAGCACTTGCCAGAAAACAGGAATGTGATGTGGGGTGGAACTAAGTTGTACTTGATCACCCTGAATGATATATACTGTGGGAGTGCTTTGGAAAAGAAGTGTTACATAAAATACGAGTGCAAAAACAGAAATCTGACTTTTAATTGAAATGCCTAATCTGGTGTTCACATTTTGACTCGATCTATTGCTTTTCATCCACCTTAGAGCTCTCAATACTTCAGAAACCACTTTCATTCAAATGTTGTGTCGGAAATGGGGCAAGTGGGCTGGTAATTTTGCACACCTGGTGACATGCTGGTTTGCCAGCACCATCACATCTTAAGCCATTTTGAGAGGACAGATCAGGGGTGGAACAGCTACTCAACTGAAAGTGGTGGTCAATTACCATAGCTGCATAATCTTCTAGTTCGCCTTTGGGACTCCGGTCACATTGCAGCACAGCACCTGTCTGGAGACAGATTCATGGCAGGAGACCCCAGCATCCAAAGCAAGCTTTGATGCCTTCCCTTCACAATGGTCACAGCTGCGGCTACAAGTTACACTGCAGAGAGGTTCCCCCAACACAATAGCAGCCTGGCAGCTGTGGCTATCTTTCTAATTTAATTTTTTTTATGTTGGTGAAAGGGTGCTGCCCTTCACGGTAAGTTGGCCATTTGGCCTCTAGCTGACCAAACTGGGAAATAAATCCACGTTCACTGACTGCTTCAGACACAGTGAAGGTATGAGACTCCAATTGATCACATTACCAGGCTCCCAACCCAAAACAGAAAATTCTACCCATGGTGTTATCATCAGCCCCAGATGTGAATTTCCTAACATTATGTTATCATAATGTCATTCACAGAACTTTATTGCCAATCCTCTACTTTGTCAATACAAGGTCTTATGGTACAGTGTAAGCATCCTACCTCTGTGCCAGAAGGTCTATGTTCCAGGACTTATGGCCATGGAAGATACATTTGTAATATGGCCAAACAGGTTTTCAGTCTGCAAATCCTTTCAATACACCAGGGCATGAGAGAGCAGGTTGCAAGAATGGGAGAATTTCCTGGTTAACCATACTATAAAAATCATTGCCAAGCTACTGCAGTACTTTGCTCATAAGCGTGGACCAATCCAACAGAAGTCCATGGCTCAATCCTTGGAAACAAGGACAGGAGAAAAGACGACAGGCTCTACCAATGGCAACTCCGGAGCTGCTGCGCAGGAATGTTCATCCCAATCAGATTAACCATCCTAACCACATCTGGTTTTAAGAAAACACTGACTTTACATTTTCAACAAGTGACCTTCTAGGTTAATGTTTTGCTTTTCTGTGATTACTGGCTCTACCTACACTGCTTCTATGGAAAAGATGCAGAAAATGGAGACAATGTGTAGCCAGATTCTCATAACTCTGGCCACAATATTCATATGTAGACACTGGATGCCACTAGAGGGGAGATTAAGTTAAACCATATCTCAAAGTAATTTGTTTTCCCACTGTTCTGAACTTACTGCTCACAGTAAAGCTGTCACAATTAGGTTTTAGGCTGTTGATTACTATTACCCCTCCCCACTCTGGAGGAAGCCTGTAAACATTTAGCCACAAGTTGGGGAAACATTTGGGCTGGGCTGTGATGAAATAGCCAATTGTTGCTTGCTAATCACAGTAGCATTTGGAGAATGGGCTGGTTCCAAAATGAAGGTACAAAATTGTAGGGGGAAATATATACTTAGACCATGTAAATTTTCCAGCAGCATTTTTTCTTGACTGATTCATAGGCTTGCAAATAAAATTAGAACCAGATCAAATAAAAATGCCAGAAGAGAAAAAGACCATATTTTACAAAAATGCACTGGTAAAAGTGATGAGACAGAACATTCCAAGAAAACATAATAGCCATCAGTTTAATGAACTGGCTACTGGAAAGTCCTAATTTCAGAAATGACGGGCAATAATGTTAATGACAATCCTGAGTATGTTCAGATTAAAGTTTTCTTCAGTACTATCTTATTGACAGGATCTATTCCACTAAAATAAACACACTGTTTTAAAAAATAAATCGTGGCAGAAGAATTGAAGACTGATGTGTAAAGTGCTTGTTTAATTGCCTGGTTAAAAAAAAGGGAAATCCAAGGTTGAACAGAGAGCTCCTTGCTCACTCAGTATCCACCTTCTGGTCATCCTATCTCAGCAATGGCACACTGGAACTTGTACTGGAACAAAATCACACATACTCATATGGTACTCATAGTACCATATTTACTCATGTAAAAGCAGACTAAATAATTTTTGGCCTAAAAGAAACATGGTTTCATATATACCTCAGATAAAATGTCACCATAATTTTTCAAGGAATAATGCCCAAAGATTTAGACGGATTTCAATATGAAGGGTTGTTAATTCATTATGTATGTGTTTTGTATTGAATGAAATAATTTGTAATGTTATAAAATAAAAGTCTTTCAGTGTTGCTGATTTTTACTTTATTCCATCATGGCAACGTTTTCTAGATTTCATCTGGACACAAATCAAGCACACATTTGACCCCTTGAAACCATGAGCCATGAATAAAGTAACCTATGACTGAGCCAAAAAAGGTTAGTCTCAAAAGCTAAAGTTTTAAATGAATAAATATAGTAATCTGTTTCTCACTCAGTTTATTGAAGCAGCTAACTGAACTTTTAAAGAATATCTACTATATTGATTGGAAACAGGGCCAGATGGATCTCATTTGACCATGGGATCCTTGACTGGGATTAATCTGGGCTAATCAGGGAGCCCTGGCTGACAGATATAAACAGGAGATTCAGAGAGTGTCTTCATTCAAGGGACTGGCTCTGAGCTGGCTGGTCAGAGCCTATGTACCATGCACATGTAAATAAAAGGTGATTTGGTGACAGGATATCTGCCATACAGTTATTTCACCTACCAACTCATTACTTCAGCTATAATAGTTAGAGTGGAAAGAACTGCTTGAACATTAGGTTTTGTTGGTAGAGCTGTGATCTACCAGGGAGAATGTCGCTGTTTAAACAGACTTGGAATAAGACAATACTGACTGCTTTGCTACACTATAAATTCAACTCATGAGAACTTAACTACCCAGGGATGGACAATCAGACCAAATTATTCTTCTTAACAATGAGACATTGATTTCCCTTGCATGGACACTGGAACCTAAATACAACTTCAAATTAGAAAATATAATTTATTGCAATGCAGAATCCCCAGCGCTAGGTTATTACCGTGGAGCATTTTCTAGGATAGTTATTTCAAGCTCAAGACTTTCTCCTTATTAGAATATCACATCATAGATTATAGAATCCCTACAGTGTGGAAGCAGGCCATTCAGCCCATTGAATCCACACTGACCCTCAGAACAGCATACCACCCATACCAACACCCCTACCCTACCCTTGTGACCCTGCATTTCCCATGGCTAATCCACCTAGACTGCACACCCCTGGACACTATAGGGCAATTTAGCCTGGCCAATTCACCCAACCTGCACATCTTTGGACTGATCAATATCGAATTGATTATGAAATGCTTGTCTACGTGCAATGTCTTTGAAGTTTCATGAAGAATTAACTGATGAAGGTTCGTGAGATTTTTCAGAGTGTTATCTATTTCATATACCTCAACAAGTAAGTCAACATTGATCTTAAAAATTAGGTTTATACAAAATAGCATCTTGATTCCTGAAGTCATTTTAAGGACAGTGCCACATTGAACCTGTCTTCATCCTCATTGATACTCACTGACACAAGAACATGTACTTAAACAAAGGTAAAGTTGCCATAGTCCTATCAGACCATAGGGCTGCTCTCTCATAGAGACTGAGACAGAGAGAGAAAAAAGAGAGAGAGAGAGCGAGAGAGATGACTAGTGATAATTTAACCTGAAGGTCACCATGCCTCAGGTGAAGGGAGAACATAGAACATAGAACATAGAACATTACAGCGCAGTACAGGCCCTTCGGCCCTCGATGTTGCGCCGACCTGTGAAACCAGTCTGAAGCCCATCTAACCTAAACTATTCCATTATCATCCATATGTTTATCCAATGACCATTTAAATGCCCTTAAAGTGGGCAAGTCTACTATTTTTGCAGGCAGGGCATTCCACGCCCTTACTACTCTCTGAGTAAAGAACCTACCCCTGACATCTGTCCTATATCTATCACCCCTCAATTTAAAGCTATGTCCCCTCGTGCTAGCCATCACCATCCGAGGAAAAAGGCTCCCACTGTCCACCCTATCTAATCCTCTGATCATCTTGTATGTCTCTATCAAGTCACCTCTTAACCTTCTTCTCTCTAACGAAAACAGCCTCAAAACCCTCAGCCTTTCCTCATAAGACCTTCCCTCCATACCAGGCAACATCCTGGTAAATCTCCTCTGCACCCTTTCCAATGCTTCCACATCCTTCCTATAATGCGGTGACCAGAACTGTACACAATACTCCAAGTGCAGCCGCACCAGAGTTTTGTACAGCTGCAACATGACCTCATGGCTCCGAAACTCAATCCCTCTACCAATAAAACCTAACATACTGTACACCTTCTTAACAACGCTATCAACCTGGGTGGCAACTTTCAGTGATCTACGCACATGGACACCGAGATCTTTCTGCTCATCCACACTACCAAGAATCTTACCATTAGCCCAGTACTCTGTATTCCTGTTACTCCTTCCAAAGTGAATCACCTCACACTTTTCCGCATTAAACTCCATTTGCCACCTCTCAGCCCAGCTCTGCAGCTTATCTATGTCCCTCTGTAACCTGCAACATCCTTCCGCACTATCCACAACTCCACCAACTTTGGTGTCATCCACAAATTTACTAACCCATCCTTCTACGCCCTCATCCAGGTCATTTATAAAAATGACAAACAGCAGTGGCCCCAAAACAGATCCTTGAGGTACACCACTAGTAACTGAACTCCAGGATGAACATTTCCCATCAACCACCACCCTCTGTCTTCTTACAGCTAGCCAATTTCTGATCCAAACCACTAAATCACCCTCAATCCCATGCCTCCGTATTTTCTGCAATAGCCTACCATGGGGAACCTTATCAAACGCTTTACTGAAATCCAAATACACCACATCAACCGCTTTACCCTCATCCACCTGTTTGGTCACCTTCTCGAAGAACTCAATAAGGTTTGTGAGGCACGACCTACCCTTCACAAAACCGTGTTGACTATCCCTAATCAAATTATTCCTTTCTGGATGATTATAAATCCTATCTCTTATAATCCTTTCCAACACTTTACCCACAACCGAAGTAAGGCTCACTGGTCTATAATTACCAGGGTTGTCTCTACTCCCCTTCTTGAACAAGGGGACAACATTTGCTAGTCTCCAGTCTTCTGGCACTATTCCTGAAGACAATGACGATATAAAGATCAAAGTCAAAGGCTCTGCAATCTCCTCTCTAGCTTCCCAGAGAATCCTAGGATAAATCCCATCTGGCCCAGGGGACTTATCTATTTTCACACCTTCCAGAATTGCTAACACCTCCTCCTTATGAACCTCAATCCCGTCTAGTCTAATAGACTGTATCTCAGTATTCTCCTCGACTACATTGTCGACTACATTGAGAGGTTGAGAAGGAGTGTCCTTCATGATAACCTCAGCTGGTGCAGGAGCTGAACCTACACTGTTGGCATTAGTCTGCATCGTAAACCTGATGTCCAGCTAGCTGAGCGAACGAATCCCACATATACTCACTTCTACACAAACAAACACACACAATTCTTTTGCATGTACACACCATCACATGCTCATACACATATACCATAAGACACACAAACACATGCTCACATACACTCAATGCATGCTTGTACACACAAAAACACAGGCTCATGCATATGCCAACACATTCTCTTGTACATGCACACACATAGTCATACATGCAAGCACCAAAACATGCTCTCATGCCTATACTCACCAATGCGCATATTCTTGACAGAGGCATGCATCAACATACAATTCAGCAAGGTCACTGAATGACGATATGGAATGGCTAATTTTTCCCTTTCCTAGCTTAGTACACTTACAGGTAGGCATGGCCCTCAGATTGACACTGGGACCATTTAGCCTCCAAACATCAGTTCTAAGCTGAAACTTCAGCAACGCCCAATTTTAAATTGAAATAAAAGTCAATTTTACAGAGAAGCATAAATACCTTCCAAACTCATTGATTATAATCTTAAATGTACCCGTCACAAGCTTGCTGAAAATTGTGGTAAATTGCTAACACTTTAAATTAACAATTGCCTAAAGAGTTTCAGGTTTAAACCCAAATTCTGGCTCATTTGATGCCCTGTTTCATAAAATCCTTTCTTTATATTAAACTATGAAACATTGAGAAAGTGGACAGAATTAATTAAATGTCGAATTGTCCAAAATTACACTGGAGGCTTCACACTCAATGCTTTACTCATGCAAATTTTATTTATCTTGAAGTAATATATATAGAAGGGATAAAAAATTACATAAAAGGAGGTAACAATTGTTTAAAAATTACATGTTTGAACTGATCACACAGGACAATAGATTGACTGGGGATAACTCACAGGATGGAAGCTGGGAACCCTCTGTTCATTTTGGAGGTTCTGGTGGACCTTCTAGGAGATCATTGGCCTGGAATTTCGTATCAAATGTGCTGCTTCATTCAGTGTAATTCCCCTGACTTAAGTTATTGGTGCAAAAACTTGCAGAGCTTCTAAGCACTCATTGCAACTTGCATTTCCACAATCTTTTGTGCTGGTTTTATAACATTGTGTTTGAAACAGACCTTGCTCACAAAACCTGACATGACCTCCAGGGTATACTAACCACTGCTGGTAAGTCCATCATAACATTTGTTTTCAGACTTTCATGAAAATGGAACCTTTGATTGCGAGGACATTAATAGATATGTTTTGAATATCGTTTTCTTTAAGAGGTCCACTATGTATACAATAAATGTTAGTTTTAGTCATTTAAAATAAGGCTACTCATGAGATGTGGATTGACACTAAATTAAAATGCTTTTGTTCTGTAATAAACACATTTTCTGCATATTAATCAAACTTGACAAATTACCATTCTTTAAAACATCAATGGAGATGTTTTAAAGTAAAATTGCATATAAAAGCACTCCCCAACTTTTCTGGTTCTTGGCTGTTTTTTGCATTTAATGATATGAAAATTAGTTTGAATGAAATCATGTGTGAAATAAACGTTTGGGTGTAACTTATGCTGGAAAACCCCAAAGCAGAAATTCTACCCCAGGTTAATCACGAAAGGAAAGGGCAGCACAGAGCAATGGGAATAAGGAACAGGTGGGTGAGAAAGACAGCCAGACAAGAAGCAATGCACAATTTTGGCCAAAACATCTCAATGTTGCTATAGCAAACAAATAGTGAACCCAACAGTTTGAAGTATCTCACATGAAAAATGCTATAAGTATGGCAAGCCTGTTCTTCAGCAGCTGGATTGTATTAACACATATATACTCAAATTACCAGTATCCCACTTTAATCTCTCCAGTGTATTTTTTGGAAACTTCAAGGATTTTTTTCTAAATTATTATTTATGGGTGTGTAGAGAGAAGAACGATTTTAAATTTGTAACAGAGTAAAATCATTAACTCTTTCAGTAGCAAATTACTCCTCACATTTATTATCTGCCATACTATGTAAAGTTATTCTCTGTTCACAAATGCAACTGATTTTACAGTAAAGCTTGCAATTGGCTACACTGGATATCTCACTAGTGACAACATTCCAGACTAAACCTAGATAGTGAATTGTGGTAGGCTGTTCAAGTGCAGTGCAGGTCACCATTGCCTACTCCAATAGTGTCCTTATCAGACATCAGTGTTGATTCAATGTGCAATCTCAAACCTGAGCTGCTTGGCCATTTGCAATGTCTAAAGAATGGTCACAGCCATAGTCCAGATAACAGACACACAGTCATTTGCATGATCTGGACAGCAAGAACCAATTGCAAAATCAGTAGAACCATACAACTACCTCAGTGGCTCTTGAAGTGCAGTCTGTGGGAGTCCTCTGAACTGGTCCAAATGTAAGTTATGGACATGCAGCTCTACAGATGAAGTCATATGATAACTGGCCAGTGCCCTCAGCCCAGCACACTTGTAACATCGCACACCAGACAGGACTCCCAAGTGTTAGATACTAGCAATAACAATTGGGTTTCATAAGCGATTGTTATAACATACTGCGAGATTGTTTCTACAATTTTTAAAAATCCAAAGAGGAACAAACTGAATGTGCAACCCATTTTAACTTTTTATCAGAACAATAGTATTCTTCCTCTTAACTCTCTAACTTCACCCTGAGTTTTATTTTTGCAATGACATGTAAAAGAGGCTGGGGCAAGACTGGTAAGTTGCTTGTGAGGTCTGATTTCTTACCTTAGCTTTCCCCAAACAAAAAAAACTCTGAGAACTAGTGTTTTAGTTAAAAGTCAGATAACTCACAACACACTAAGGATGGAAATGAGTCTGACTTTGAACCTCACAATCATGTCAAGAGATGTCTTAGAGGAATAATCAACTGAAAAGAGGAGAACATGCCCCCATCTACATCAACGGAACTGAAGTTGGGAGGGTGGAGACCATCAAATTCCTCGGAGTGACAATAACTGATGACCTGTCCTGGGCTTCACACGTAAATGCGACAGTCAAGAAGGCACAACAATGCCTCTTCTTCCTCAGATGGCTCAGGAAATATGGTATGTCCATAAGGTCCCTCACAACTTCTACAGATGCACCACTGAAAGCATACTTTCAGGGTACATAACAGACTGTTATGGCAACTACTCTGACCAGCACCATAAGAAACTACAGAAGGTGGTGTGCACAGCCCAGCCAATCTTCCATCCATGACTCTATTTACAAGGCTGTGCTCCGGAAAGGCAGCCAACATCATCCAAGACCCATTCCACCCTGTAATGATCTCCTAAAACCTCTTCCGTAGCAGAAGACGCAGAAGCCTGAACACACGCACAAGCAGGTTCAGGAACAACTTCTTTTCAGCCGTTATCAGATTTGAATGGACTCCAGCCTCAAATAATGTAAACTGCAATGTAACTTGTATGCCTCTAAGTCTTTTTGATCTGTATATCCTTTGCTTTCTGTGATCTGCCTGTACCGCTCGTAAACAAAGCTTTTCACTGTATTTCGATATACATGACAATAAGTCAATCAAATCAAATAAAATCAATCAAATATCAGTTTTAAAACACCCAGCTGAACACAACAATCAGTGAAATCAATATATCTGTTAATGAGGATCATTCAAATGAATAGAATTCTGCTTCATCCAGTTAAACCATTCTGGACTCTATTTTATTGAGAGATCTAAGTGTAACCAGTTGTAACTTGAACGCTTACCATGAATAGTCAAATCAAACTTCCTGTCTGATTGTCCAGCCACGTTAACAGCCAGACAAGTGTAGCGGCCTGTGTGGTGCTCCTGTGCCCTTTGAACTTTCAGGGACCGCCCTTCGTTCTCCACTTGGATGCCTCGTCTGCTCACCACAGGACGCCCATCTTTCATCCATGTCAACACTGGCCGTGGAACTCCATTAGCTTCACATTCTAGCATGATCTTAGCTCCCCTGGTAATTGAAATTTCTGTTGACTGCCCACCACCATTCTTGATATTGGGCATCACTGAAACAGAAAGAGAAAACCACAAAGGGATGATGCAAACTTAAAGTCGGACAGTGAGAGATACTCCAGAGAGGTTGTTGTATCTGAAACACTTTCATTACATAAAATGCTTCACCTTCTCAATTTACCAACACTCACCATAAACCTCCACACTGTAGTCTTGTTTGTTTGTCCCAGCTAAATTAGTCCCTATGCATGTGTAGTTTCCAGCATCTGATATCTGAGTCCGAGATATTTGTAGCATTTGTCTACCAGAGAAAATAGTAATTCGATCATCTTTCACTATAGACAGTGGTTTTCCTGTGATTCGTAGTAAGGAACAGAGACAGATAATATTAAGGAAGAGATCTGCAGGATTGGATTTCCACAAAAATGAACCTAGACAAAATATAAAAAATTTATTCCTTCACATCATTAATCGATTTTTTTTCTTTGGTTACATGAAAACCACTCATAGCTTCTCATCCCTACACTCAATGTCATAAAAGATTGGAATTATAGGGCTGGATGTTGCTGAAAAATACCCCAGCATGTTCAAAGTGCAGTATCATTACTTTGCAAATCAATCAGCAATTAAGAGGCATGATACAAATCGAAGTTCCAGAACCTGATTATTGATTTACATCACTCCAATCTTAGCCTCCCCTTTATTTTTCGAACATTCTGCACCTGCACATCAATTATCCATTAAACTCACCACAGAAAGTTAAATCTGGTTAAGTGAAGTAAGAGTGTACGCTTCCAAAAGCCTTCTAAGCCAATTGTTAATCCAGTGTCAATTAATCTCTCCTCCCCGGAAAAGTAACATTGTAAACTGGTCTCGCTCATTTCTGTATGTAGTAAATTCATCTTTGAGGTTTCAAAATGGTTACATGTCACTCTGAATCCAGTCTTTCTTTCCCTCTGTATTTCTCTTCTATATGTGATTAGACTCCAATTTGCCAACTTCCTTGAAATATTCCTGTGTTTCTTTCTCAATCCTTAAATCTCATTGGCTAAACAATAATGCTGTTTGTTCCACCATTCATTGAGGTCCTAGATTTCCTATTTTCTCTACCCTCCACTACCAGCTGACACTTCCAACATGGTATGTTGAAAGCATTTTCTGAACTGAAAGGTGGAGGAACGAGTCTCACAAAGTGTGCACCATACTCGATATTAACAAGGTTTTGTTGCAATATTCTAACTTCAGCCAAACAAACAACTGAAGATGCTTAGCTTTGCTTCTGTATAAGGAAATTTTGTAGCCTGATTTTAAAAATATAAGAACCTATGTTTTCTGGCCCCCACCTTTTAAAAGATTTGTGTGTCTGAACACTAGCAAAACACCCAGCTTTTCTAATTATTTGATGGTTTAATTGTTATAGCCAACAAACAAAATTTCAATTGAACTTGATTTAAGGAGAGAATTTCTATTCTCCAGTTTGTTCCAAAACGTAAAAAACTAAACTGTTTGAACATATTATTATTCCCAGGTACCTACTCACCCTATAATTAACTTGTCGACCTTTCTTTTTCCTATTGTTTATCTCCAGGCAATGTAGTCACACGACCATTTATTAGAAACCAGCTGCTGTTTTAACCAGAAAACAGCACCTAGAAAAACCAAGTTCTTAAAGGGACTAAAATATGATAGTGTAATTTTTCCCTAAAAGCACATAGATCATCAGAGTATTTTGCTTGCTTTAACCAGGTCCACATAATTTATAAATATTGAAAACAGCAATGGTCTAGACACTGATCACTGTCCATACTACCCTAAATTTACAAACAGCCATTAAATCTCTTACCTTCAACCAAGGTTCAATTCACACAAATAAATAAGAAATCCAGTAACAACTCATGTGATGATGTGATTATGTCTTTCACTAGTTAATGTTCCTCACATGTTTACAAATTTGGTGTAAGTTCATCAAAATGCTACTTTCCTTTTGGGAAAAAAAGTAGCAGGGTGCTTAGTGACTTCAACTACCAGGTGAATAGAAAATGGAAGAAGAATATGATTTTTCCAATTTGACAGACGGTCCATTCACCTTATTAAACTTTCATCATGATGGAGTATCCCACTCAGGTCTACAACCAGTCCAAGCAGAATTTGCGATTAAAAAGGTCAGATGAGTGGATTTGCTCTCTGCAGCAAGATCATCTAATTAGAAACAGTATAATTTACTGAAGTACTTACCATTCTTTTGCCACTCAAGGGTGGGGTAAGGAATCCCAATGCAATGACAAAACAAACTCATTGTGTTTCCTTCAATTACTGTCACAGGCATTTGTTCCTTTAATCCTTTAAATGTTGGCGGCACTGAAAAATATTTCAAAACATAACAAGTTGGAGTAAATATTGTACTTATCACTATCTGCTCTTGTGTCATTGTAAACAAAATGTAATTATATCTCTTTATAACTCATCTTATTCTATCTCTAGTTCCACATTTGGCTGAGAATCACATAAACAGAAGTTTATAGTGTGGAGGTGGCTATCCAGCCATTTTGTCCATGCCGAGTGACAAGTAGCCATCCAGCCTTACTCCACTTGGTCCTGCTTTTGGTCTGTAGGAACATAGGAAATAGGAACATGATGTGGCTATTTGGCCTCTCAAGGCTCCTCTGCCATTCATCTAGATCATGACCCATTTTCTAACTAAGCACAATTTTCCAACACTATAATTAATGCACTTAATATCTAGAAAACTATTCAGGTCTATCTTGAGCATACATTAGTTCAGTAACTTTGTATGTCACTGCCTTTCAAGTGAATAGCCATGTTCTTTCGAAATATTATGATGGTTTCTGCCATTACTAACCTTTCAAGCAGTGAGTTTCACATCCGCTATGGCCCTCTTCAGTTTTATTTTTATTCACTCATGGGACATGGGATTCACTGGCTTGCCAACATTTATTGCCTGTTCCTAGTTGCCCTTGAGAGGGTGATGATGAGCTGCATTTTTGAACTGCTGGAGTCTATGTGCTGTAGGTAGACCCAGAATGCACTTAGGGAGGGAATTCCATGATTTGGTCCCATCGATGGGATAGTGATATATTTCCAAATCAGGACAGTGCGTGGCTGGGAAGATAAATTGTAGGTGGCGGTGTTCCCATTTGCTGCCCATGTCTTTTTAGATGGAAGCGGTTGTGGCTTTGGAAGGTGTTGTCTAAGGATCTTTGGCGAATTTCTGTAGTGCATCTTGTAGATAGTATACACTGCCACTACTAAGTGTTGGCATTGGAGGGAGTAGATCCTTGTGGATGTGATGCCAAATAAGTGGTCTACTTTGTCACTGATGGTGTCAAACTTTTGAATGTTGTTGGAGCTCACCCACCCAGTCAGGTGGGGCGTACTCAATGGTAATCCTGACTTGTGCCTTATGGATGGTGGACAAGCTTTAGGCAGAGAGGAGGTGAGTTACTTGCCTCCAACCTGCTGTTGCAGCTACTGTGTTTATGTGGTGAGTCAAATTGAGTTTCTGGTCAATGGTAACCTCCAGGATGTTGATAGTGGAGAGTTCAGTGATCATAACACCATTGAATGTCAAGGGGTGGTGGTTAGAATGTCTCTGATTGGAGATATTCATTGTCTGGCATTTATGTGGCACAACTTTACTTCCCACGTGCTAGCCCAAGCCTGGATATTGTCTAGATCTTGTTGCATTTGAACATGGATTGCTTCAGTATCTCAGAAGTCACAAAAGATGCTGAATGATGAGTAATCATTGGCAAACATCCACACAACTGACCCGATAATGCAGGGGAGGTCGTTGATGAAGCAGCTGAAGAGATTGGGTCTAGGACACTACCCTGAGAACCTCCTACAGAGATGTCCTCAAACTGGAATGACTGACCTCCAAGAAGGGTCTAGGCCCGAAACGTCAGCCTTTCTGCTCCTATGATGCTGCTTGGCCTGCTGTGTTCATCCAGCCCTGCACCTTGTTGTCTCCCATCTTCCTATGTGCCAGGTATGACACCAACCAGCAGTGAGTTTGCCCTCTAATTCCCACTGATTCTAGTTTTGCTAGGGCTATTGATGCCACCTCAGTTGAATGTGTCCTTGACGTCAAGGGCTGTCACTTTTATGTCACCTCTGGAAATAAGCTGTTATGTCTATGTTTGAGCCAAGACTTTAATGAGATCAGGAACTGAGTGGCCCTGGCGGAAACCAAACTGGGCATCACTGAGCAGGTAATTGCTGAGCAGATGATGTTTGATAGCATTGTTGATATCACCTTCCATCACTTTACTGATGATCAGATGTTAGTGTGAGAGGTAGCATCAGACAGAATTTATAGGTAAACGAGCAAAGGGTCACACCACGAATGAGGATGTTCTAAACAAACCTAACGAGCTGTTAAATCTTTAATCAGTTAGCAGGGTTTAATTCTAACTGATTAAAGATTTAACAGAATCTTAGGTTTGTTTACAACATTCTCATCAGCGGTGTGACCCTTTGCTCGTCTACTTATATATTCTGTGTCTGATACTACCTCTCACACTAACATCTGAAGAAGGAGTAAGACTCCAATAGCTTGTGTTTTCAATAAACCTGTTGGATTATAACTTGATGTTGTCTGATTTCTGACCTTGTCCACCCCAGTCCAACACCGGCACCTCCACATCGTTTCATGAACAGGACATACCTGGGCAATTTTCGACACTGTCAGGTAGAACTGCAGAGCTTAGATCTGATCTGTTGGTTGTGGGATTGCTTAGTTCTGTCTATCATTTGCTGCTTATTCTTTTTGACATGCAGGTAGCACTGTTTGGTAGCTTCACCAGGTTACACCTCATTTTCAGGTGCAGCTGGCATGCCCTCCAAGGTTGATCCTCTGGCTTGATGGTAATGGTTGAGTGGGGGAATATGCTGGGCCATGAGGCTGCAGATTGTGCTAAGTACAATTCTGCTGCTGTTAATGGCCCACAGCACCTCATGGTTGCCCAGTCTTGAGTTGCTAGATCTGTGTGAAGTCTGTCCCATTCAACATGGTGATGGCGCCACACAACAGAATGGAGGATACTCTCAATGTGAAGGTGGGACTTCATCTCCACATGGACTGTGCAGTGGTAACTCTTACTGATACTGTCATGCACAGATGCATCTGCAGCTGGCAGATTGGCAAGGATGAGGTCAAGTATGATTTTCCTTCTTGTGGTTCCCTCACCACCTGCTGCAAACCCAGTCTAGCAGCTATGTCCTTCAAGATCTCGCCAGCTCAATCAGTAATGCTGCTACTGAGCCACTCTTGGTGGTAGACATTGACATCCCCCATTTGATTTGATTTATTATTGTCACATTCAGTCAGAGTCTTACAGCACAGAAACAGACCCTTTGGTCCAACCCATGCTGAACATAATCCCAAACTAAACGAGTCCCATGTGGCTGCTCCTGGCCCATATCCCTCCAAATCTTTCTTATTCATGTATCTACCCAAATGTCCTTTAAATGTTGTAATTCTACCCACATCCACCACTTCCTCAGGAAGTTCATTCCACCTGCAAACCACCATCTGTCTAAAAAATTTGCCTCTTATGTCTTTTTTAAATCTCTCTCCTCTCACCCTTAAAAATGTGCCCCCTAGTCTTGAAATCCCCATCCTAGGGAAAAGACGACTACCATTAACTCTATCTATACCCCTCATTATTTTATAAACTTCTTTCAAGTCGCCTCCCAACCTCCTATGCTCCAGTGAAAAAAGTCCCAGCCTATCCAGCCTTTCTTCATAACTTAGACCTTCCATAACCTGCAACATTCTGGTAAGTCTCTTCTGAACCCTCTCCAGCTTGATAATATCCTTGCTATAACTGGGTGACCAGAACTGGACACCATATTCCAGAAGAAGCCCCACCAATGTCCTGCACATCCTCAACATGACTTCCCAACTCATATACTCAAAGGACTAAGCAATAAAGGCAAAAGCCTGACAAATGCCTTTTTAACTACCCTGTCTATATATGACGCAAATTTCAAAGAATTATGTACCTGAACGTCTAGGTCCCTCTGTTCTACAACACTTTCCAGGACTCTACCTTAAATTGTACATTGTTTGTTGTACCAAAATGCAATACCTCGCATTTACCCAGATTGAATCCCATCTGCCATTTTTTAGCCCATTGACCCATTTGATCAAGATCCTCTTGTAATCTTAGAAAACCTTGTTCTCTGTCAATTATGCCACCAATTTTGGTGTTGTCTGCAAACCTACTAAGCATGCCTTCTATATTCTCATCCAAATCATTTATATAAATGACAAACAAAAGAGGACCCAGAACCGATCCCTGTGGAACACCGCTGGTCACAGGCCTCTACTCCGAAAAACAACCCTCCACTATTACACTCTGTCTCCTGCCATTAAGCCAATTATGTATCCAATTGGCAAGCTCACCCTGAATCTCATGTGACCTAACTTTACTAATTAGTCTACCTGTAGAACCTTGTCAAAGGCTTTACTAAAATCCAAATAAACAACATCTACTGCGCTGCCATCAATCTTTTTGGTAACTTCCTCAAAAAACCCAATCAAGTTTGCAAGACACGATATTCCTCGCACAAAACTATGCTGATTATCCCTAATCAATTTTTGCCTCTCTAAATGTCCATAAATCCTATCTTTTATAATCACCTCTAACAATTTACCCACAACTGAAGTCAGACTCACAGATCTCTAGTTCCCCAGTTTCTCCTTACAACCTTTCTTAAACAAAGGTACAATATTAGTCACCCACCAGTCATCAGGCACCTCACCCATAGTTACAGATGATGCAAATATTTCTGCAAGGGGTCTTGTAGTTTCCTCCCATACTTCCCACAACATTCTGGGATACATTAGGTCAGGTCCTGGAGATTTAGCCAGCTTTATATTCTCTAAGACATCCCGAACTTCCTCCTCTGTAATGTGAACTGTTTTTAAAATATCAAAGTTTATTTCTCTGCATTCTCTAGACTCCATTTCTTTCTCCACAGTAAAAGCTGATGCAAAATATTCATTTAGTATCTCTCCCGTCTCCAGGGGTTCAACACTAAGACAATCTCCTTGATCATTAAGAGGCCCTGCCCTCTCTCTGTCCAGTTACCCTCTTGCTCTTAATATATTTGTAGAATCTCTTTGGGTTATCCTTAAACTGATCTGCCAATATCTCATACCCCCTCTTTGCCTTCCTGATTTGTCTCTTAAGAATTCCCCTACTCCGTTTATATTGCTTAAGAAATTCAATTGAACCAAGTTGTCTATATCTAAATTAAAATTCTTTTTTATTCTTGACTAGAACCTCAATATCTTTATCCATCCATTGTTCCTTAATCTTACCAGCCTT